CGCAATAAATGTAAAAAAGTAATATATTATATAAATAATTTAGCTTTTAATGATTTATATAATAAATTAAATACTAAGGAGAATGAAAGATGTATGTATAAGTTAGCTAAGCGAAGAGATAAAAGAAGTAATGATTTAGTTCAAATGAAGTGCATTAAAGATGAGGAACAATAATTCTTTTATTAGAAGAGAATATTCAACAAAGAGGAATAAGATATTTTGATAAGCTTTTCAATAAATATTATGAAAATACGAATGACTTTAGTGACCTTAGCACCCTAAATGAAAATAAATTTATTTATTTTTTTATTGGCCTATTAGTAAAACCGAACATAAAAAGAGACTTTAAAGAAAATGAAGCGCAGAAAAACTATTGGACCAGATAATATTCCAATAGACGTGTGAAAATGCTTAGGAGATGAAGGAATTTCTTGGCTTACAAAACTTTTCAATATTATTTTGAAAACTAAAAATATGTCAGATAAGTGGAGAAGTGTGTTGATTCCTATGTTTAAGAATGAAGGTGATGTGATACACAAGGGTGTGTGAATTATAAAGGAATTAAATTAATGTGTCGTATCTTAAAACTTTGAGAGAGAGTTATTGAGCATAGGTTACAACATGATACTAATGTTTCTCAAAATTAATTTGGATTCATGCTGACTATGTCTATTATGGAAGCTATATATTTATTGAGAGATTTGATGGAGAAGTATAGAAAGAAGAAGTAGGATCTACATCTGATATTTATTGATTTAGAGAAAGCTTATGATAAGTTCCAAGATAAGTGTTAAGGAGAGTTCTAGAAAAGAAAAAGGTTAATAATGCTTATACTCAAGTCATTAAGGATATATATGCAGGAGTTGTTGTGTTCAAACATGAGATGGCTAGACCAAGTATTTTTCCTATTTTACTTGGATTACATCAAGGATCAGTTTTAAACCCATATCTTTTTGCTTTAGTTTGGATGTTCTTACTAGACATATGTAAAATGATGTACCCTGATGTATGCTTTTTGTTGATGATATTCTTCTTATTGATAAGATTAGAGAGAGAGTTGAAGGTAAACTTGAATTATAGAGGTCAACCTTAGATCCTAAAGGTTTTCATTTGAGTAGATTTAAAACAAAATACACATGATAAATTTAAGGGAGGTCAACCTTTCTTCTATGCTTTTAAGAAGCAAAGAATAACTCAATTCAATATCGTATAATAACCAGGATAAATTTAAGGGAGCACTTCATTAACTCGCGTATAAATCTCAACAGGTAGGTTAATATGAAAGATTAAGGCAAGGATACTGAAAGAAGAAACTAAATAATCAATTGTTCATGCCCAGTTACGACTTGTCAAGGATATGTATCCTAAAATCAACAAATATTATCTCTTATGGCAGTAGGATCAAATGCCAAAAATCTGCAATTCTCATGTAGGAAGAAGATGTTCCTATCAATGTTGGTGGCCGAGGAGGTTGACGGAAAATTGATCGAAGATGGGGTTGAGTCCTATCATGGATGAATTAGTGTTGTGATAGAGGTGGCAATTAGAGAATGCATTAGTGGCGTCTGAATTATTGGGATGATACATGAACAAAGCCTCAATTGGCCTTGCAATAAATTTTCACTCTTTGATCTTACAAAAGACAAATCAATTGTTTAACTGATTCATAGCCAGAAAACATGGACATAGAAAGAATAAATAAATTACAGCTTAACTTATATGATAGATCAAGATTTATTAGATCCATAGTCTCATGTTCTGACCAGATAGCTTAAATAAGCTGGTTAATAAATGCATAATTTCACTGCAAGTCTGCAACCTTGACAATAATCAAAAGAGTAAAATAAAACAAATAAAATAAAATGAACCAAGTTTGGACCTGTCATAAATTCAGCAATTGATGATTTTAAGTATTTGTACTCCTCCGAAAGGCCATAAGTGCTAGCGATTGGAACGACCACATTATCTAGTGTCCACTCCTAGATATGGAAAGCAACTATTAGAAAAAAACTTCCAAAGCTTCTACACAACCAAGCAGAACTTCGAAGTATCTTTACCAATAATTAAATTATTAAATTAATTTTTTTTGCTGTGTGAAATATCAGCGACCTGTTAATGCATACCTGACATTGAGATATCCAAGAAGAGGTGCTCTTGTTGAAATCCAATATGGACACTTTTGAGCCTGCAAAAAACCGCAAAACCATTATAATTGTGGAATATTATACTAGGCAAATGAGGATAAGGCTGCTGGAAAGAGAAAACCTGGTTTTAGAACCCGAAAGATTTCTTGCATAGCTTTCCGTTTATCAACAAGATTACGCAGTCCAAAACCAACAGTTACAGCATTAAAATAGCTGTCTTCAAAAGGCAAATTAAGTGCATCATCTTCAATCCACCTGCAATATGCAACATTCAACATTCATGGGTTTCAACTTTCAACCAAAAAACTATGTTGAAGATAGCTTCTACCACAGAGTAGAAGTGCTATAATGAAGTCAGCATTCCAGTCAAGTCAAAAAGGTGTACACAGTATGTTATTCATCTTCTTCAAGGTGCAGCCATGATCATGGATATGGAAATTTCTTGGTTGTTACCCAGGTTGTAAGGAAAACTTTCACATAAGATTACACAATACTCATTCAGAAAACTAAGACATATAGATCCTTCACATCCCAAAAATCTTCTGATTTTCATGAAGTTTGACTAGTTCTCACTTGATATTTTTGTAGCAAGCCTTCCAAAATAAGTCTTGACGAGTTGAAGCAATAAATAATTGCTTCCTTGAGAAATCCAGGGCACTGACCTGTGAATTTGGATATAAGATGAGGCTCTCCAGCTGAGATTTTAATTTCATGAAATTGGTATACAGAGCATAAGAATTTTATCCTAAGAATAAAAAGGGCCTGCAAATAGGATACAAGAATAGCAAATTGCAGACTCACGAAATAGTTTACCATAAATATTGTATATCAAAAAGCATTTCACATCAACAACCGAACAATGTGTTCACTAAAAGCAACATTCACAATAAAAATTGTATATAAACTTTTCATGGATTTAATGTGATAAATTGAAAGAGAACCCTTTTTTTAGGTTTGCTTCTTTTCTGTATCCTTATGTATGAAACAAGGAGTTAGGAGTTACTTACAAAGGCTCTTGTTGAAAAAATGACAAAATTTTGATAAATTAGATGGATAAAAACTTTTTAAGACAAAGAAAGAGCGATAGTTAAATAAAATATTAGGTACTTGCAAGTCGTAGAACATTTTGTAGCTTGCAGATAGAAACGAAGTTTTGCGAAAGCATGATTTCATTTTCAGTCTTTTTTGAGAGTGAAATCCAAATAATTGATTTGTTTGTAAAGTTTAAGAAACATGTTCATTTTTAATTGCATCCACTCAAACAATAGAACGTAGCATTTTTCATCATTTTCTAAAATGTGCTTCCTACCTACAAAAACACCAAATGTGCCCTTAGAGAGTTTCGATATATGCTATTGAATATTGGAATGCAATGTCATTGCCCATTTCCAGATAAGCAATCATCGCTGCACCAATATATTGTGCAGTCAAGGAAGCTTGATACGTAAACAATAGGCTTCTTTGACATGAAATTCAACCAAGGAAAAGAATATTCTAAAAGCCCCACATCCACTGGCCTAATAGAGAAAAGGATTCTGCATTAAATTTTCCATGATTTCAAGTACTTGTTATTTATATATTACACTTATACAAGAAAGGACAATAGCAGCCTTTAATGGGATGCAAGTGATAAAATGCGCAGTTTTCCAGCTACAAATGCTAAATTCTCAATCTTCTCCCCTTGACTCTGAAAAATTTTATTTATGCCGCCATTCCTTTATCATGCATGATAAATAGCTTTTGATTTCTGTCACCAAGCAAGCTGTATGCCAATCTTGAATGGCTCTCATGACAGCGACTTGCGCTGGGTGCATTCAGAAATTGGAACAATAAAGGTGCATTCAGAAATTGGAACAATATGTTCAAGTATGTATTTAGCACATTTATTATCCATTTGTTAATAGGGTTACAGCCTAGGGGTTAGTTGGAGAGCTATGGCACAAAGCTCCAAGACCTAATGGACTAATCTAATGCCATATACCATTATGAGCAGGCTTCTGTTGCCCCTTTATCCCATTATTACTGTCCAAATAGTATAAACCAGAAGATGAATTGATTTATACTATTGGATTTAATGGTTAAATGTCCAAACAAACATTTTCTAAAATCGCTATAACATAAATACAACAACCTAATCATCACTAAAATGATTTGGTAGATGTTGTGCAAACAATCACAGCGAAAACAAAATCACACAACACAAACACAATAAACACGGTGATTAACGTGGTTCGACAAAAATGCCTACAACCACGAGGTGATTTCACTATATTGGAGAATAATAGTGAATTTGATGTGAAACATATGCATTTTGCCACTTAGGAAAGCAATTCAATCTAATAAAATCTGAGATTAATTTCAGGTTTTAATTTCCCCATTGTCATTAATGCCGTGGACCACCTATAACGAATCTAGGCACAAATTTCCCCCTCTCCTTTATTAATTTTCTTTGAAATCCATCCATAAGTGCAGCTTATTTCTTTGGAAAGATTTCTAAAATCCTTTACTGCTGCTGGCCGAATTTCCCTAGGCTCACGCATTGATTTCCCTCCACGAAATCCTTCCCAAACTCCTTACAACGTTGATTGTCCTACCTATTAAGCCTGTAGCCAGAAAATTCCAGCCGTGCACCTTGCATCCACAACAACTGGAAGCCTTATAACTACTGTTTTAAGTAGACCAGCTTGCTGTCCACTTATTCCAGCAAAAATATCCTGCTGTCCAACACTTTGGAAGAGATTCTCCACCTCTCCCTAGCAAAGCCGCTCCCGCTCTAAATCATTTTGGTATCAGGGCATGGACTCGGATCAACTTGGAAGGACTCTAGACTGGGTTGTAGGTCAACTGGGCGCCATTAGTCAACATCTCAAGGAGAATCAAGCGGACTTAGCCGACCTCCACTGTCAAACAATCGAACGATTCGATAACCTAGAGCGAGGTAGGACTGACCCACCGCTTTACACACCTTCAAGATCCCCTTCATCAAAGGATAAAAAAAGGGCACTAAGAAACAGATAAATAGTGGATAGAGTTGACAAATTGATGGAGGCCAATGAAGCTTTCAATTTCCCACTCACTGTGCAAATCAAAGAGAAGTATCAAGGAAGAACATGGAGAAGAAGATGAATTGGTTAACAAGGAGAAATGCATGATTGCAAATAATGTAGGGAGAGATTTGGTTGATTCAATTACAACTCCTACAGAAGTAAAAGTTTCTTCTGACCCAGTTAAAACTCCTATAACAGAGAATGTTGATGAAGCTCTGGAAGTGACATCCATAGAACTCCCTATTGCTCCTATTGCTAGTGAAGCCATCTATGAGAGTGAACAAGTTCCTGCAGGCGAAAAGAAGTGCGACAGTTTGGAAGGCGATCCCTTGACTATGATTAAGGAAATTGGCGAGCTAAAGTGCAAAAAGCAAGTGGACCTTGTGGACAACCGGGGTTGTTTGAAAATCTTTGCAAAAAGGTCATTGGGTTTATTGTCCATTTCGGATGAAGAAACAATGTCTCCAAATAACCGTTCAGAGTTGTACATGAGCAGTTGTGATGCTAACTCGACGGAGTCGAGTATTCTCCCACCTGGGGAGAATGATGCGGACATCGATACGAAGATTTAGCGCATCTATTACATGAGGCGTCGTAAATCGGCGGCTATAATTTAAATCTTCAATTATGAGTTATTTTTCTGAATTTTAGTTCTTATTTGATGTATTTCCTGTTTTACCCCTAGGTTGGTTTATGTGAGTGTTGTGGCCCAATGGGAAATTTTGTATTTTGAGTTTTCTTATGTTATGGCCTATATATAGGGCCTTAAACTATTATAATGAGGATGGATGATTGATATTAAAAATTTGTGTTCAACACTTGTGTTCTTTTGAGAGGACAATAGTGAGATTCCTATGGGAAGGAATCGGAGTTTTCACCAGCCGCAGGATGGGTCCGGGCTCGTGACTTAAAGTCCCTTGGAGAAGGGCAAAGCATCACCCGTCAGTCATCAGAAGAGTCCAAGGCTCACGGTTTTTATCTTCTATCTTTTGTTTTTTTTATTTTTTATTTTTGTTCCTCCTTATTTTGACATCTCAGACGTCTATAGTGAAAGGATTCGTCAACAGTCTTGATCAACCATCACTTCCTACTCCCTTACTCAGACCTGAAATTGTTAACCACATACAATGAGTTTTAAAAAGCCCACCAGGTCACCAAAGCCTACAACTGAAATCAAAGCACGATACTGAAACAATATGCATGTCAATCAGTCAATCAATAACAGTCACTTGCACATGATCATTGAATCTATGCATATACGAAAATCAGAAATCAATGCATAACAGAAATCAATAATCAATACATAAACAATATAATCCAAAATCATCAGTGATAGAATCAGTGAACAGTAGAAAATCCCATAAAGCTCAATGAACCAGTATGTGAGTCAAATCTCTACAGTAGTCGTCTTATCTATAACATCAGTCTAATCAATATAGTAGAATCGTATCAAAACATACACTTGCAATTCCAGTTATTCAATATCACTTGCTCAATAAATAATATGCAATCCGGTAATCTATATCACATGTATAATGTCAGTACAGTGAATCAGTAGTAGCAGCGTATGTATCAATATCAGTAACAATCCTGTGATGACATGAACGATTATGCTATAACAGTGAAATCGTGTAGTAACAGTAAATTCGTACAGTAACGATAAATCCGCACAGTAACGATAAATCCTCAGTAAATAAGTCCGTACTAGTAAATCCGTCAAATCAATATCGTATTATTAACATCAATCAATCATATCAATATAATCAATCAGATAATTAAATAAAGAAATCAATTCCGGTCAATAGTATCAATCGGTATGAAATCAAAAAGAGTTGAAATCAAATCAATAAATCAATAAATCAATCAATGCAGTAAAATCATATCAATACAATAAAATCATATTCTAGATCACGAGCTCGGTAAATCACATGTATCAGGGTATCACATGTATCAATTAGTATTCGGTGTATCACGTGCCATAATATTAGTGCAATGAATCAATAGTATCGGTGAATCAGTAGTATCGGTATCAGTAGTATCAATGAATCAATAGTATCAGTGTCCATAATATCAATGAATCAATGCAATATAGTATCAATGAATTAATGCAATATCAATATCCATATCAGTATCTGTATTCAGTGACATGTACAATATGCAATATCAATGAAATCGTACAGTAATAGTAAACTCATAACTCTGTCAGTAAATCCATTCATCAATAAATCTATACTCAATCAATAAATCTGTCAATATCAATAAATCAGTAAATCCATACATAAATCAATAAATCGGTTCAATATCAATAAATCAGTCGATACAAGAAATCAAGCAATATCGATAAGTCCATAAGGAAATCATAAGAACAATACTTTACGCATGCATTCCAGTACAGTTGTTTTACTTAACAAGTACAATCACTGGCTATTAAGGCGTTTTTCAGTCTTGGAACATCGATGTATCGTTGTATCCGTTGGCTCAATAAGGGTCGTCACCCTTGCCCATCGGCATAATAAAATCTCCTTATGACTCACAATCGTTGTATCACGTGATCAATAGAGGATAACACCAAATCCTTTTTAAAGGAAAGCCCGTCAGCCCACCATCCTGTACAGGTCGATCTTCAACCAATGGTTCAAACAGTCTTTACTTGTCTTTCAGTAATAGTAGTATATTCAATCATATATCCACATTCATATACATCTCATTAATGCATTGCAATCAATAAACATGATTTAACTCAAATGAAGAGAATCCTCAAAATATCGTACAGTCGACAGAAATCCCAAACATAGACAAAATACAAAGTTTTAGAAAATTACCAAATTACCAAAAATCGAATAAAACAACGTTTCAAAACTTTACTTGTACTAAAGCACTATTTTTCAAAATCCATATAATTTTTTATTCGATAAAAACACATCAGAATTCAAAATACCCGGTGAAAACTTTCTAGAAAATAATCAAATAGTGCAGAATCATCATTTCTACAACATACCAAAAGTTACATGGTAAAAGTTTCGTCAATACAAAGATATGAAAGAATTTCGATAACGGAAACACAAAACTGAGCAGAAAAATACCAAAACACGAAATCTTCGAAATCAGAAATAAGATTCGGATTTCTTACTGCGAGATAAATGATTCTTCTAACAGCGGCGTCGGACGAAAATCGCTCTGCGGTCTCCAAAACCAATCATTTTCCTTCTCTTTCTCTCTCCAACTTTCTCTTTCTTCAAAATATCTCAAAATCGGATATTTATCAAGCAGGATCGTCCAGGAAGAATCCTATTCGTCCCGGGACAATTTGCTCTCTGGATGCATTTCATCCCGACAAATTCAGGTTCATACTGACGAACTCAGGTTAGTACAGGCAGTTCGTACGTACTAACCATATAGATTTTCACAATTTTCTTCAGTTCGTCCTGTACTAAAGTCAGTTTGTACGGACTAACGGCACTTAAAAAAATGAAAATCTGAGGGGTTTTACACTAATTGTCCTCGTCGTCATCCACACCCTCATCCCAATCTCAAAACCCAACCCTCTCCATCATCCCGCCGGCCCTCCCTCTAACCGCCGGCCTCCCCTTCATCCACCATCCCACCTCTACGTTAATCGACGGCTCCTTTGACGCCACCTCACGTATTTTCAAATTTGAAATTTCAAAATTTGATGAGTTGAAAGTTTCCAAATTTGCCCGGTGACAAATTAGGAAAGTTCCAATGAGGTTTCAATTTTCAAATTTAAATGGAAACGGATTTGAAATTTTTCATCATTAATTAGCTTGAGCAGATTAGGAAACACTTTACACTCTCCCCAAACCCCCTTCCCCCTCACCATGCCGCCGGCCCCCTTGGTAGTCCCCACTCCTTTAATGCTTCATTAAGGGAGTTGATTGCATGCTATTTGAATTTCAAAATCCACTTTAATCTCTAATTGGAATGCATTTAAAATTCTCCATTCAATACCTTCCATATTTGGCCATAGCATTTTTGGGAAGAATTCAAATTCAAATCGAATTGATTTGAGTTTCAAATTTCTTTCCAATTACCCAAGCCACTTAGGAAAGCAGTTCAATCTAATAAAATCTGAGATTAATTTCAGGTTTTAATTTCCCCATCGTCATTAATGCCGTGGACCACTTACAACGAATCTAGGCACAAATTTCCCCCTCTCCTTTATTAAATTGCTTTGAAATCCATCCATAAGTGCAGCTTATTTCTTTGGAAAGATTTCTAAAATCCTTCACTGCTGCTGGCTGAAATTTCCCTAGGCTCATGCATTGATTTCCCTCCACGAAATCCTTCCCAAACTCCTTACAACGTTGATTCTCCTACCTATTAAGCCTGTAGCCAGAAAATTCCAGGTGTGCACCTTGCATCCACAACAACTGGAAGCCTTATAACTACTGTTTTAAGTAGACCAGCTTGCTGTCCGCTTATTCCAGCAAAGATATCATGCTGTCCAGCACTTTGGAAGAGATTCTCCACCTCTCCCTAGCAAAGCCGCTCCCGTTCTACATCAGAATTACAATAGCTCTCAAGATTTTTCTCTTTTTCTCATACATATGCCCTCAAACACCTCAATTTATAGATTTGAGGCAAAACAATAAAGGTAAAAAGATTCAAAATATAATCATCAATCAAATCAATTAATTCAAAAAATAATCTATTCCCTAAGCATTTACAATAATGAGCCATTAAAACTTTCCAAACAAAAGTTTATTTAGATTTAGAAATAATTCCAAATCAACAATCTCCACTCCAATATCGAAACAACTGCACCTAGATGATTGCCCTACGTACCCCCCCAACACAACAAAAACAAAATCACACAACACAAAGACAATAAACACGGTGATTAACGTGGTTCGGCGAAAATGCCTTGAGCGTAGTTCTTCAAACAAATGGACAATTAGTCATGAGTCCTGCACCATTGTTATGGTGACTGCATCTCCAAGCCTGCATCAATTGTACCCACAAGATACCTCAGGATACTCTTCACAGCGTGCCAATGACTCTTTTCTAGATCATGTATTAACATGCTGTCATGCTCACAATGCCAACTGCTTGTGCAATATCTGGATCAAGCTGCTCCAAAATCAAACCATATTGTGCTACGAGTGTCAAGTAACCATGAGTCAAGAGATTCTTAACCACTGGGGAGAACATCTCATCATAAGAAATCCCTTCTCATTACGTTAGAGCATTTTGCCACCAATCTAGTCTTGTACATCACATCGGCTTCAAGAGATCATTTCTTCTTTGCACGCATCCATTTGCACCCAATGGCTTTTTTCCTGGAAGAAGCTTCGCCATTCTCCAAGTAGCATCCTTTTGAAGAGACTCCATCTCTTCATCCATAGCCCTCTTCCATAGATCACCATTAAAATGTCGTATTGTATATTTTATGAGATAAAATCATTGTATTCTCACTCTCACATAGACATATGAGCTCTCTATGAGTTAGTGCATATGCTCATGAAGCATAAAAAAATGCAAATGCAAAAAGAAAAAAATTTAGATATTTTTCATATAAATCTTTTTTTTTTTTTAAATGCTAATATTTAGGTAAATATAACCAAACGAAGCCTTAATATTTCCATGTGCATCACACAAATTTGAAAAAGTGCATTCCCCAAAGCTATTGACTTTATTATGTCAGGTTTCAATCTGAACCAAGCCAATCTAATTATAAAAATTTGAAAAAAAAATTTAAAAAAAAAAAAAAAAAAAAAACAATCATAAGCAACGGGAAATTCATTATAACTATATTACAATGAAAGAGTAGAGCAATCAAATACCATACTTTTCTTTCGGAGGAGCTATTAGAAAGATGGGTAGGGCACCTCTCCATTGGATCCAACTTTTTGGGATAGAAGGAAAGTTAAATCGCCACTGCCACAACATATATCAAGAACAATATCTCCTTCTTTTGCCCTACAAATTAGCAATTGCATGTGTTAGCATTAAGAGGCAGCCTATTTTAAAGTCAACTACACAAGCAATCTTAAGCAAGCTGAGACAATCTTGACAAAGATAGAAATTTCAGTTGATAAATTCAAGAGCACTGATACCTTAACTATATTTTTTTTTTAGATTGGAACTACATGAATCATTCACATATAGAAGGCTTCCTTAATTTTTATTTACAAATTACAATTATGGCATTGTTGATTCCACGTACTACTCAAATCTAACAATAAATCATTATTCTCATAATTACATAATCATCTGACTGTTAAATGGATCAAACAGGAGACAATAATATCATGGTTTTATGTTTGAGTTGAAACTAATCCAAAATAGCAAAAAATAATCGTTTCAATAGAGACCTATTCAAAATTGGCCGCAACTTATGATTCCAATTAGTTTCAGCCAACTTTGATAGTTTTAATACAAAACCCTAGAAGATCATTAGGGATCTTGATCAATGTACTCTTAAATTGAAATGATTTGGGTCTATGTGTAAGGCCTTTGATAAGTATGTCTATTCCTCAAGTGTAATGAATAACGAAGCATAACTCTCAAATATTGAAATATCTTTAAGCTTCGTTTGAAACTCCAATGTTAAGCACCCTCATAATGAAGCACTCTTGAGATGTGAACGTTCCAAAGAAGTTGCATGAATAAAACAAAAAAAAAGGTCTGTTAGGCCAAAATTGATAATATTTCTATAGAATAGAGTTTGGATTGTGATAATCAAAACAAGGCTGAAAACTTGGAAAACAACCAGAATCTCTGAAATTTAATCAAGGCCACTGAAACTCAACCAGAACTACAGAAACTTAGCAAAAAAAAACTCATCCAAAAATATTATATTTAAGATTGCAAAATTTATTAAAAAAATAATTTTTTTGAAGAAAAATGTTTCTATTTTCATATTTTAAATATTTTTATTAAAAATATAAAGATGAAACTAAATAGCATTGAAACTCTTGAAACCAAGGAAACTGAAACTTCTACATAGGGGCGAAACCTAAATCCAAACTTAGTTTAAAGTTTAAACTAATACCTTGTAATTAAGAAAAAAATAAATAAGGATTGCTAGGTTCAATGTTATTGAGATGTCAATGTTATCTATCAAAAAAAAAAGTGTTTGGTTCAGTGGCAATATATTGCAATTTCAATATTTTCTAGATTAAAACATAATAACATGATTCTTTTGATATCATGACATTAGATGTTTGTTGATTTGCCTGACATAGTAAAAATAAGACACGAACATCTATTTTCACATGTTATGTGAAGATGTCAATAAACCAAATGGAAGACATCTTTAAATAACAAAAACATGAAGTGATTCAAACAAAAGGCCCCGTAATTTTAATGTGCGAGTGATTCAGACAACTTCTATCGCCAAAAAATAAGACGAAGTAGCATTAATCCAAATTTTGAGATAAAAATGTTTACCCGCTCCAAGAAACGCACATCTTTTTCCATATCCGATGCTGTCCCAAGCTCAGCAAGTCATTCAACTGCAGCAGCATCAAAAAAATGCCATTTCTTTACACAAAAATTTACTGATATATCAATTTTCCCATTAAAGAAACAGCCTATTTTGGAATCTGAAAAGGATTAGGGTTTGGGTCGGACATTATCATAGACTGGAGCAATGCGGGTAAAGAGCTCGCGGCGGTCGGCGGAGCAACGGACGCCGTTTTGTTTTCTTTGATACCGCGGCAACAAGCGTTGGTAGCGATGCAGCGAACACCGAGGAGGAGATGCAGCTACTGTAAAGATGGAATTGTGAAGATTCGAACGGCATGAGGGGAGAGCCATCTTATCTTATCATGCCAAAAGAGTTGAAAGGAACTGAGCTGAGATAAGAATCCAAAGTTCAAAACATAGGGGATCACATCTTCAGGATACCATCGGAGTTCGATTTTCGCTGGTTAGGGTTTAATCAAGCTAGTGAGTAAATCAAACAGTTTAAATATAATTTTTATAGTTTATTAGCTTTCATCAAAATTAACTTCTTATTTTTAAATTCTCAAATTTATTTATTAAAAATTTAAAATTATTATTGTTGAATAGGTTGTTGGTGGGTAAGATTTAGAAGATAGGGTTAATGAATCACTGAGGGGGTAAAAATTTATACTATTTTCATAAATATTCTCAACATTGAAAGAAAAAAAATTTGAAGCATGCATCTTCATCATTTATTTATAGGGATAAGAGGGTTATAAAACATACTATATATGATAGAAAATATATAAATAGTACATAATGACTATTATAACCTGACCCTGACATGTGAATTGGCTAGATTATATACACGTGGAGTATTGCCTCTGACGTGTTCCGCAAGCTAAACTTCAAGAGCAATTGTCAAGGATGAGTCTTCGAGATCTAAGTTGCAGGCTGAACCTGTGAGGGCTAACATGTAGAAATAAAAGGCGAGTTATTATGAACGAACACCGAGTCCCACGAAGTGTGGGGTGAGTCCCTGAATTGGTAGTATATATAAGCCATGAACGAGCATAACAAATGAAATCATAGTCACATGCTTCAAAGTTGTGCGCCTCCTGTAGTTTTATCAGGGATATATGTTAGTGATAGATGAACGACATTAGTCACGAATAACTACAACATGTGAGCTAGTTCTATTGAAGTGAGTGATAGTCAAAACGTGAATAAGTATGGGCAAATTTTTTGACATAGCTCACCAAGAATTACTAAATCTGTGATTTGCTCTCTTAGAACGAGTACGTGCGTTCTGATCTATGAAAGGGAGAGTGGCTATTTTGACCTCAGTCTGGTCATAACTTTTGCTCCATAGTGTCACGCTTCCATTGAATGAGTGTCATTTTGACCATATGACCCTCCTAATCAAATCCTTTGATGAAATATGTTAGATATCTACAACTAACCTAACTATCTACAAGTAACATATATTGATTGGTACTGTTACAAAATTATAATTAAATTATATGTATAATTTTTTTAAAAAAAAAAATATGTTTAAAATTATTTTAGAACTAAATTAAACAAACATTGTATTCATACAATCAAATTCATATTATAATAAATTAAATTTTATTCTTCTGTAAAAAATTATTATAAAACATTAAAATGTGATATAAAAAAAATACATATTTTAAAGAAAATTTTTATTTTTTTTTAATAATTAAACCAATTATTAGTCTTCATTTATTTTGTAATTCCATTATCTACATCATAATTATTTCACTTAAGTCACAACACGTGTTTGATATATGTGCCCTTTATTTTTTTATTTATTATTTTTAATCAAAATCGTCAAGAATGTACCTAACAAATACAGGTGTGTATCAGGGCAAATTATTGTGTCCAGTCACCTAACATGCGGACATTCAATCCAGACACGCCACCTCACCCGGATGCACTGGGCCCCGATATTTTTGAGTGACGTGGCGCATTTTTATTGGCGACCGGACGAATCCGAACACTGGACACAATAATTTGTCGTGTATCAGGCACATGTCATGTTATACCTATGTTAGACAATAAATGCTTTGATATTTGAAAATAATAGTACATTATATATCTCAGTTAAGATTCATCAAAATTTTATTTTTTATAAAATTTTCTTCTTATTAATGGCATTACTTTAATTATTGAGAATAAATTGAACAAATTAAATTAATAATTGTGCTGTTGAGAATTAATAAATATTAGTGCTGTTGAGAATTAATAAATATTGACTATTTAAATTTTAAATTATAATAAAACTTTTAATTTAAAAAATATAAATGATAGTATTTGTGTGATTTTAATTTATAACAAAAATTCACAAATTCCCTTGTTGTGTGATGGAAGGTTGTATTGATGTTTACAAAGTTCTATGGTTTAAACATTCTTGGATTGATGGAATGCCACCAACAACCAAGAAATATTAGGCTAGTACTTAATCAAATGAGATTGTTTTCAAGAAGAAAGTTCTATGCGAGACACTTTTTAAACTCATATCCTTTTGAGTGCGAGAATAATAAATGTGTTTCTTCCCAAGATGTTGCAAGATATGAGTCGTTAGATACATGTCATGTCGAGAAGAGATTATGGCCTAGGGGCAGATGATGGATGATCGATTAATTTATGGGTCATTTTAGAAATGCACGAGGCATGGAAAAGGAGAAGTTAAGGACTTGATAAGTCACTATGCCTTATGGACTTTTGTCACTTCTAGTACAACTAGGTTGAATGATGAGTGATAGGAGTTATAGGAACGAGAAATCATTGGATTCCTTAGGACATTTTAGAAGAGATCGACAAGCACCCTAAAGAATTCATTGAGAGGGGAGGAGGCAACTTGGAGAAGGTGACACAAATAAAATTTCATCCTAATTAAGGAAAATAATTTAAGAGTGTATTTGATGACCTTAGAAAAATTCTAAGAAATCCAATTGGGATGAAACTCAAATCTAGCATACTTAGTAATATGATGAACCCTAAGAATTAATTTCATCCTAATTGGAGTTTATTCGGTCAGTTAAATCGCAAACCCTCAAATTTGACCCCTAATTTGAGGCTAAAATTTCCAAAATTTATAATTAATTAAAGAAAGATTATAAAAGTACAAATTAAATTTCAAGCAACTCTAAATCGATCATAAAAATAAATGAAAATTAAAATCAACCCTCAATTTTAACTAAAATTAAATTAATTTAAAATTTAACTTCCATTAATAATTTAATTAACTAATTAAGATAAAAACAAATATTAATCCAATTAATCCCAAATTTTATTGGTTGATCCATGGGTTATTTCTAACCAATGTTATCAATTATCTAAACATTTGAGATTGATTTGATTAATCAAACCTCGAACGAAGTTTCTTTTATAAAGAAGGAATTAAATAAATAATTAAAAATGCAATGGATACTAACAAATTATAAATAAATTAAGTAAAGTAAACTAAATTCAGAGAACTTTAACTCAAATTTAAAACATTAAAACCAACACTACCAGAAAATAGCATTTTTCGCATAGGTTTTGTTGCATCGGTTTTGAAAACGATGTCAAAACCCCTCTATTGCATAGGTTAAAACCTAAGTAATTAATATAGGTGCAATTTACACCCCTTCCCTAATGCAAATTAAATTACTCAAATTACTTCACTTAAACTCAAGTCAACTACATAAAACAACTTAAACATAATTAAAGTTGACAAATCAACTCACTTAATAAATACTTCAACTAAATTAGGAAGAAATTTATGCATTGTGTTTGATTCTTTTGGAACACACAAATACATTAAATTAATAGGACTTTAATAAATCTTTAATAAATAAAAGCCTTTTATGCATATGCTTAATTCCTTTTGGAGGGCATATATGCATTTGATTTATAAGGCTTAGGATGTGAAGTTAAGTGCTTCAAAGTAATTTATAGTATTTCAATAAACATATTCTTTATAATAACTATTTTATAAATCAAAATATTAACATAAAACTTCAAGGACTCTATGCAATCACTCTATTTTATATGGGAGAATGAAGGCATTATATTATGAGTCATACGATTAAGAGGTTAGTAGGTTCTGCACTTTGGAGTGATTAGCTTATATGATTATTTAAAATTAAATAATTAAACTCAAATACTTTAAAATATAATTAATGAAACACTAAATTATTAAATGTTTAAACTTAGATTAAACCCCTTTGACCTCTAATAAAAAAAAACTTCAAATCAAAGCAACTCAAATAATAAAATCCCTTATGACATATTAAAGTCACATAACCTTCTTAATACATTATAGATGATTTGCTAGAACAACTGACTTTAACTTAGACTAGATCGGTGATTAATTTGTGTGTTTTGTAGATGTCATGCTTGGAGGGCATCTTATGTCTATTTACTTTTAGTATTCTGCATAATCATACATGTTTATACACTTTTATCTGTATAATGCACTATATTTAATAGTTGCATGTAAGATTACATTGTACTTTTATTTCTCACTAACATGTTTTGCTTATAATATACAATCTTTAAAATATACTTAGGCTTTCAACGTAAATGCAAAAGTTAAATGTCAAATATAAAGTGTCTAGGATGTATCTAGATCGAGTTATATAAAGAGTTGTAAAAGTTAAAAGGTTTATGCTTATACACATAGGGCTCTAAAAGAAAATACTTTCTCTTACTTTAAGAAGTAATATCTTTTGCAATCCTATAGGAGACATGGAGCAAGAAGACAATAAGTAAATACATTTAAACCTATAGGAGACGTAGTACGTGTTGGCTTCAAGCATAATCACTAAATTTGGACTATCTCAATGGTTTGATTCAAGCGATTATTTGTGCGGCCTAAATTGTGACATTTGTCTTGCATGCCTACACTCTAGATCGGATGAAAAAAATTTAATATTTATAGGAACCAAATAAAATTGTTGATTGTTTTTAGGTATATTCTAATAAGTCTCATATCTCATATGCATCAAGGAAGCACATACATGAAAAATCATATATGAGAGAGAGAGAGAGAGAGAGAGAGAGAGAGAGAGAGAGAGAGAGAGAGAGAGAGAGAGAGAGAGACTTGCATGCATGCATCCTTAGTTGTGAATCGTCCAAGCCAACAGAACTCTCAAGAAGACCACCATTGCCTATCTGAGACATGGCACAAATTCCAACCCATGGGATCTCTCTCCATTGGCTTAATTACGCAATCTGTAGAGGCAACAAAATCTGAGAACGATTGTATAGGTAACATACATCATATTAAAGCAAATAATGTACTATTACAGTATAACACCTATGAGCTAATTTTGTCTTGGTGCTGAAAGTAGAATAAGTTGCACAAAATCTAACTTGCACAATCAGGTGCTTCAAAAATTAAGTCTTGCTTACACATATAAATTGCATAAAACAAATTAGGGTTTCACTTGTTTCCAATTTTCATCTGATCAATTTTTTTTAAAAATA